CCTCCACGATCACGCGACATCCACGTGTCGAGCTCTCCGGGCGTTAACAGCCACCGTCTTATCTCAACCACCACTCCATCCCCACATTCATCACCTTTCTTCCATCTCCTCTATATCAACATATCCAAATCCAACCTTGCGTGAAGGCGGCGGAATCGACCAGACCAAGACACAGCGAACTTGGCCTGGTCAGCCATAGTTCGTGCTGACGGGGGGCAGCGGCGTCTTGTAAGTCAAGTCTGGAGCATTCCGCTGGCTGAGCGTGAAGTTGGACAAGGATTACTTATCATATGGCCAATCTAGTTACATTTGATTTCTGTGTGTACCCCTTCCGATCGCATAGTTACGGTCTCAAGATCGGATAGGAGAATCTCATCTTCTTGCTTCCTCCCCTCACCCCGAGCGACTGAGCCAGCGCGAGCGAAAGCGCGCACCGAGTTCGAGACAACTTGCCTTCACCCAGAGCTAAGTACATCTTCTTCTACACGTATCCATCAATCTACTCCTCCCGCAGCGCCAACCTCGATACCACCTAGGCCCACAATTAGTCCTCGCTTGGACTATCTTGTCCTTCTTCAACAGGTGATTGTGGATGCTAGATTACCAATGAATGGGGTACGTGGACCAACGGGCGGTCAGAGCCTTGTGTAGGCACTGGATCTGGGGCTTCCAGTAACCATTCACGAAATTGGGACTTAGAAGGGTAGCTGCATGATAAAAACATATATTTATTGGGCCAATATGCATGAACATTTGTGCTTGGTCTTGGGACAAACAAGCTGCATGCAGGTGGGGGGAGCAAAGCACCTGGAAAGGCTGGAACATGGGTATATGAACCGGGCAGTATAAGCTGTGTGTAGGCACTTGGTTAAAGTTGGTTTGACTTTGTTAGGTAGTGTGATGGCATCTGGAGTTTGATTGGTTGAGCCTTGCATAGGCACTTGGTGATCTTGGTTTTCAAGTATACAGTAGAAATCGGCCGCGCAGAGCCTAAGTCACATCTGGGCAGGGCAATTTGGTGACAATCCTTAGCTTTTAATGAGTAAACATGAAAACTATAACATCAGCATTGATATCTGTGACCATAGAACAAGAGTGATTTGGGTATTCTTGTATGCCGTCAATACAATAAGCTAAGGAAGATATAGACATTGATACTGTGTACTAGAATCAAATGCAGGCCCTGTAATCAATAGGGTTCATTTATCCAAAACATCCAGCTACAAGAGATGCCCACACAAGGCTTGCACCCCCCCGTGGTCCACACATGTTATGCCCATTACATCTTGAAGGCACCCTCCACCTGTCTGTGCCTCCTTTGTCCCAAGGCCAAGTCCTACTATTAACTCCATCAATGCCATATTTTTTTATCATCTCGTCCTAACTTGACCTAGGCTATTCCCACTTTCCCCCCTTGACACATTAGTACCTAACAAACCAAGTCTGCCAAATGTGCCCTTAGCACTTCAGATCAGCTCCTAGTGCCCACAGTATATATCGCCATGCTGAGAGCAGCATGCCTTCTACACTCTACATTGGTAGTCATGGATGACCAGTATATAGTTGGTAGCAGGCAGACACTTAAAATTTCTTCTCTTTGGATCCTCCCCTGCCACAGTTGTGGACAATCAAAGCTAACAACTTTTATTACACAAGATTGAGTACAAATTAGAAGGAGCGGAAAATGCCCTTTCACATGGTACCGGTCATGTGCCTGTAGTGTGAGAAACATGGTATGGTAAAGAAATTTATAATTACATTACCTCACCTAAAACTTAAACTTTTTCAACTTTTGACAGAATATAAAATCAAGGATATATTCTTATAGTCCTTTTATGCACTAATATGAATATTTTCACAAGTAGTAATGGGGCTATAAAAGTTGTTGAGTTTGAGTATCCGCAACTGTAGGACTTGGCTTGGAGCCTCTAGCTCTTACATGCACAAGCATGTATCTTATGCTTCTATTCTTTTCCTGCAGCACATATGTCAAATATTTACAGATATATGCATACTAGATTCCAACTGAATATATTTATAACATATTACCATAAAAAATTTATGTTTGCTCTACCTCCTTATAGCTTGACCTTGAGATGAACAAGGCACACACAGGTAGTGTAACTTGAAATCATTGCAGTAGGGGGTTAACATAGGTTGTAAGCCTTCCATATGAACCTGGTTTGCTAGTTCTCACCATTGAGAATTAATATTTATTGGTTGTTCATGTTGTCAGCACTCAGAGTGTGATGAAGATAAAATCACATTATATGCGCGCACACAATTAGCAGCTCGATTTTAGGGTAGGAATAGCCGGCGCAGTACTTTTGCACTGGACCTCAAGGGGGGTTCAAGTCTTGAATCATGGATATAGGGTCGGAAAGTTTGTTTCCGACCCCTGGGGGACCCCCCCTCCCCCCATCCTGCCATATCGGGAAATATGTTCCCACAATTCGCGTCATGTGACCGCTGATGCAATCAAAAGTTGGGATAAAAATTCAATCTTTGTGAAACTTTTTTTTACAAAATTATATATATATATATATATATATATATGTATGTGTATATGTGTATGTATGTATGTACCTGGAACCCTCAAACACACATGGCAGGCCATATTAACTCTTCAATATGTTCACCTCCCATCCATTACCTGATGATGGGCCTATGACAGAGTGGGCTATCTAAGCTCATGGGCCTGAAAGTATATAGATATAAGTATGAGAGTTGTATACACTATATTTCCAGTGTATTTACACCCATATAAGACCCAAATCTTTCATATACAAAAAGTTTTTTTTACCCCCCTGGGCCCCCCCCTACCCCATGTGCCTGATAAGGATCTTGAACCCCTCCCTTGCCGGACCTATACGGTACCAAGCCATTTGCAGGCCAAACAGTATAGGAACTTATGACAGGAATGTAAAGCCTATAGGTAGTGTCTCCTGAGAGTGATGGTAGTAGCATTACATCAAGTACCAAATATCTTTTACTTTGCGCAGAACTTCTGCAATTAAACAATGAAGCAACTTGAAACCAGGTTGATGTAATACCAGATTTACACTGACATGGCATTGGGAGTGAAATAATGAACAGATGTGGAATGGATAATGGATGGATGGTATACATGGATGGATGAGCATTGAGAACATATGCAAAAGACAGCAACAAAACAAGCAGAGCACAGCAGCAAAACACAAGCAAACAAAAACGGTCAGTCCAGCTCCCCCGGCTGGGCTGTGCGGAGCTCGACCTGCCACGTCCGGACGTCCGAGCGCGGATTCGGGGTGGGGTAGAGCGTCAGCCCGGCGAAGTACACGTCGCCAGGCAGCCGGTCGATGACGCGCTGCTCCGGGCCGAGCGGCTCGATGTTGTACCCGTCGCCGGCGAAGCCTGCGAGCGGGAGCGGGGCGGGGTCGTCCATGTGGAGCGTGTCGAGGATCTTCCCGAGGACGTCGCCGACGGTGATGCACCCCCACGGGTCGTGCGGGTCGCTCTTGACCTCGCGGTTCATCTTCCACAAGTTGACGCCGGAGCCGATCTCGAAGCGCAGCGACGCGCGCTGGCGTGGCGGGTCGAACGCGGACTTGGCCTGCAGCCGGAGCGTGACCTGCGGCGGGTAGAGCCCGGCCGGCGCGGAGACGTTCAGCCGGAGCGCGGGCACGGCGTGGGCTGGGAGGAGGAGCAGCATCGGCGTGATCGGCGCGCCGCGCGGCAGGAAGGCCTGGGCGGGGATAGGCAGGTTGCGCGGCGGCGGGGGGGACCGGGGGAGCGGGATGTGGCCGAGGTAGGGGGCCCCGGGTGTCGCCGGGAGCGGCGATGCAGAAGGGAGGGAGAGGACGCGGGGGGTGGGGGGTGTCTGATGCTCATCACTGACCTCCACATAGCGGGGGTGGTTGGTGAGCGCCAGGAGCTCGGTGGCCTCCGGGGAGGGCGGCTCGAAGTAGAGTCCGAGGGACGACGGGCCGGGTGTGGGGGCGCGGGGTGTGGGGGCCGATCTTGCGACCGGGGGTGTTGGCGGAGCACGGGGAGGGGGGAAAGCAGGGGAACGGAAGACAGGGGTTGGGACATACTGCTCACGGGGATCACGCTGCTCGCGGTAAATGCCCGCATATCGCGGCTGTGGGGCGATCCAAGTATGGTGCTGCGGCGCCATCGCGCCCGGCCACTGCGGCGCGGGGGCCGGGCCCGCATGCGGCGCGGTATACCAGTGCGGCGGGGGCTGGTGGTGGTAGTTCGCGGGGTGGTAGTAGTGGGCGAGCATCGAGCGAGCAGGGGCAGGGCAGACAGGCCTCCCACAACGCGTGTCGTTTTATACATGTGTTATTCCGCGAGATTCTCTCGTCCATCGCGGACATTTGCCCGATTAGGACAATGCCCCGGACACGTAATAAGACACGAGGTGATGGTCACTGATGGACAGGCTTGCATTGTCTCGTTAGACGCCCATAACCAGTATCTCCGCATGGACCGCTGGGCTGGGGCGCGGCGGCGCCTAGGCCGCGCTGTCCGGCACGGGGTGCGCCGTACCCGTTTGACAAGGGCGCCGGTGATGGCTGACAGCGTGGCAGCCCCGGACGTGTCCAAAGCCACCGAAGGCACCCACAAACCACCGCGTGGCGATCCTGCGTGCGAGCAAAGAAGGAAATTTCGGTTCATCATGGCCCGGTGCACCGCCCATAGCCAGTGCAGAAGCACAGAAGCTGCCCACCCGCGACAACCCCGTGGAAACAGAATGGAAGATCGATGGCCTGGGGATTGCGCGTTCGGCCGGGTGGCCTGCAACGACGCGCGGCTACTCACGTCCGGCGGCCGCCATGGAGGGCGGGAAGGAGCACTGGATCATTGATTAGCGGGTTCGACGGCCGCTATCCTCGGAACGCGGTGTTATCCTTCGCAAACCCCTCCTTGGACAACTTGAAGCAGCCTTGTTCTCCATATATATAAGACCGGATCTCGTCCAACCAACTCCTCATCGCCAAGGCCCATAAGCTGCCATATTACGATAGGCCTGAGTCCTCGTCGTAGAGCAGTTCAGTGCCAAACATGGATTGTAGCGGAATTGTAGGATGGCAAAACGCGGGCTTGCAATTGCAACAGGGGAAGAGTACCGTTGATAGAAGGACGACGACCGCTTTCCCGTTGTCGAGCAGGAGGACACGACGAGGGTGATAACTGGTACCGGGGACAAGCTCCTGAACTAGGCCGGTCACTGCGGTGGAATTTGGGATCGAGGAGCGCACATCGTCGGTTGCGGGTTCAATTGGAAGGGAGACGGATGGGGGATCTCGTCCACCACTTGCGTGTCTCGAGAGGGGTCTGACCGGCTTTGGCGTCGGAGGAGCTCGGGTATGAGGATACGGGGGATGGTCCGGCTACGATCGCGAGGTGTCAGCGGCATAACTTGACAGAAGAAGACGGACAACACACGGGAGTGCCCGGGCCGCTAGAATAGAAAGGCCAGCGCTTCGATTCTCCTTTTCCTTTGAGCAGCGGCTGATGCGCTCTGGCCTTTCCCCAGTTCCCTTGAGTCGCACGTGTGTCGGAGCATCCCGAGCGAGTCACTGGCGGCCACAGGTAACCGCCATGGATAAACTTGAAGCATAGGACCAGAAGCAAAGGATCGGCTCGGTGAAGTGCTGACCGGGTCATATGGCCGGCGGTTCCAATGTTCGTGTGCATGAGCTGCATACGCTCGTTTGGAACGACGAACGTTGTGTCGATAGTCGTAGTAGGCTTGTGCACTGTAACGAGAGCGGGGCGAAAGATGCGCATCAGCTTACGAAACCAAGTCCCACGGTCACGTACAATCAACAAGCTTGTCACCACCAGTCATCGTCATGATTCTCTAGCGCGGACAACCCACTCTGGCTCTTCGAGTATATAATACTTGTCGACTGATATGGTTGCGGCAACACCTCCTCAGGCTCGTGTACACTCTGCTTTGTACTCTGCCCACGCCCTTGTCCTTCATGTCTTGTTGTCGCCACGTTACGTGTGTCGGCCCACAGCCTTTGGCCCCACACGGCGACCACCCGCGCCATTTAACAGCTTTCGAAAGCTTCTTCTCCCAGCATCATCCACCTCCCTGCCTGTCCGCCACCATTTCCGAGGCTGGGCCGACCGGCCATTGCCTTATGCGTCTTGGTCTGACTAGCCAGAGTCAGACCAAGATGTCAATAGCGGGACTGATGCATGACTCGACCTCGGCCGGGTGACGCGTCCGCGCAGTCCCCGTTCAACTCCAGCTCATGTAAAAGGCCGTGGACGCATCCCAGGCTTTGCGACCATCCTGCCCGTGCCCTCTGCTCGGATTATCATGTCTGTCTGGGGCCAGCCCATTACTGAAGCCGGGGACGTCCTCGTCGGGATGATCATCTGGTGCCGACACGTACCCCCGGCAGCGCGGAACGACGCACTCGTGCCCTCCCTGGTTGTTGGAATGGACGTCGATGTTGAAGGTCAGCCGCCGAGTCGGCTGTGGGTCGCACGCATGTTGGACCAAGAATCTCATATGCAGCCGACGGACTGTGATGCCTCTCTGTGGTCCCCGATGTGGTCTGATCCCATGTTCCTATGGACAAAGAAGGCATGGATCTGGGTCGGCGAACCCACACCAGTAGACGTCGTCAAGAACAATTCGCAACAGATGCATGGTGAGTGCCTGGGTCCACAAGCTTTATCTACGGCTCACTTGCCCAAAGTGAATAGAAACCGATCCTATTCCACCAATGCCGTCCGTCAATGGAATCTACATGCTTACTGGCATCGGCGACGGCAAGCTGGTGGATGTCAACTTTCACAACCCCAATGAGTGTTTACTGATTATCGGCCAGAGTTCCCCTTCTCTGGCACCAACTGGATGTCGCCAATTATGTACTACAACCTAAATACACCTACTTCTCAAAATATCCCCTTGATTGCTATGGGTTCTTCCCAACTTGAACCCATCTTTCCTCTGCAATTTATGAACCAGCCCCCAACGTTGGCAACAACAACCCCTGGTTCAGCACTGGTTGTGCCCCTCAAATTGAGTCGGGATCACAAGGATGCTCCTCCAAACCTCGTCCTGGCCCCCAAAGCCAGACATGCCTGCCAGCAATATGCAGAACATCCACCGCCATCGGCTAGTGTGTACTCTGACAGCAGCTGCATTGACCTCCGTATCACAGTGTGTCCTGCCGGCTTCCGGTTTGATTCCGCACAAAGAGTATATCGACACCCGGACAATCCTGAGATTCTATGGAACGCAGATGTTGGGCTATTTCTACTCTGATCATAGGGAAACATGCTTATCCTAAATTGCTAACTGTTGCATGTTGTATGCTTTTGGTACATTCTCAGTTTCCAACCCACTGTACTGTGTTATATTTATCAATTGGAATTGCTGTCCTATTTCAATCAACTGTTTGTGTTACACGTTACATTGACTACAAAAAAAACTCCTTGTTAAAAATTGCTATAAATCAAAAGAATTTTTTCATCCAAAATTTTTAAAAAAGTGGTGGACACCTCATCAAAATAGGACACTATCAAATACACATAGTCTAAGTCTGTAGCCAGAAATCAGATCATCATTGTGTTTCACCGATTGATAACTTTAACAACACATTCTAACCGGGTTAGGTGGTAAATGAGTATTGTGATGAATGAAAAATCATAGGAGATACTGTCACAAACAACACCAATTCAGAGGATGCCAGTTGGCCAGTGAAGGCAAGCAAGAAGCACCGTGAAAGGATATCGTAAAGATGATGGAATTCGAAGACTGGGGTACAAGACGAAACCTACTCTACTTATATACACTACTACCATGTGTTTACCATGCCTAATACGAGAGGTAATGACGTCATGCTTTAGCCATGCCTTTACGTGCTGTTTGCCTCATGTTCAACTCCACGCTGTCAATCAACATCAGCATCGACATCTGATGATCCAATCACCATCTTATCGTCCATCTTATCTCCTCCTTGTCTTATCTTATCAACCAGGGCCAAAATAAAAGGTTTAAAAGGCGAAGAAAAAGGGTTTTTGAACCCAGGGTTTGACAGATACACCTGAATCAATGTCCTTGATATACTGACCCATTTTGATCAATTCAGCGGGCCTGTGACCCGTGACCGTTTTGAATAGATGATGATATCGTCCAAATACACATCTATAAATGTGCCGATATACGGTGTGAAGATGTAATTCATAAGATATTGTTGGTCTGTTCATATCACCCTGTTGAAACACCAAGCTCTCCATTATTCCATCCAGTGTGTTAAACAAGGTTCATGATATGTGTTCCGGTATCACTCTTATCTGTTCGTAGAAGTCCTGGCCATCCACCAGTGTGCCATATGGGTGTTTGGCCATGTTCGGGAGGATGCCCTGTATGTCTGGCAGTGGCGCAGCAATCTTGATCATGTGTTTTCATTCTGCTCTCATTTATCAAATACGGTGTGTATTTGCTGTTCTCCATCTGCCTTTATTGGTTTAGGTAATATTAGTATTGGTGATCTGCTACTGCCCGTTGCCATCCTCCATCTGCCAGATCTCATATACATGTTCTTCTTTTCACGCCATATCTCCGACAACGCCTCTGGGCATTTAAATAGTTACCAATGATAAACTGTTGACTCGTCCTTTAATGGAATCATATAGTTTACTGCCTTAAATGGTGGTAGTCCTGTTTCTGCTAGATCGGGACACAAGTCTGCCACCTCCCTCTTGAGTGTCTCGCCCAACATAGTGAGATCGACTCCAAATGCCCTACACCGCAATAAATACCCCAATGATTCTGCAACATCTCTAAGTTCTCAAGTTCTCCAGCGCTAAGTTCCATTCTTGGGAGAGGACAAGCATAAACTGCTTGACGAGAATTTTGGGTGCCGCAAATGTCGCAAACCTTTTGTCTTCCATTATGCTCATGACGGTTTATGCGACTTCCCATCTACGGATGTAGAGAAAGTCACGAAAGCCTATGATCCAAATGGCAAAGGTGAACCTTACAGCAGAGCAGCAGGCAGAACTAGCCAGAAAGACCAATGCAGGACCGGCACCAGTTTGCCAGATGGCTTTATAAGGACGCTCGGCACCGATCATAGCTCTCAAGGACTTTAACGACGAGGACGACAAGCAGTCGGAAGAAGATAGCTTGGAGTCTGAACCGCTGGTACAGAACATATATCAGACGGGTGTTGCAGCTGACAACTCTAACTGCCAGTGTAAGGGCAACCCCGGAGGCCTGAGATTAAGGTCCTAGCAGGGGAGGATCCAAAGAGAAGAAACTCTAAGGGTCCACCTGCTAGGGAGCTGACTATATACTGCTTGTCCGTAGCTGCCGCTGTCGGGCACAGAAGGCTTGGGCGGTGTCGCAGGCAAGGTCCCAGGGCGACCGTCAGGAGGGCGTTGACGGATTGGTGATTGTGCGGGCGAGATAGAGGGCCGGACCGGAGTCGGACGCGTCTCCGAGGGGCCAAAAGGGGGGGTTCCCCTGACAGCCAGTCTATCATAGAGCACGCCGAACCCTTACGGAGCCTGCCCGCCGCATCTGCCCACTACCTCTGGAACTGCCTGATTGAAGGACTGTGAACAAATCTTCTCATTCCCGTACATTCACTTATCGACAATGGCTCCCACTTGGTCCTAATAATGGACGACTTAGCAGACCTGGTTGGCCTATGATGTAGACGATCTATCGATACCTACCAATTCACTTTCTCCACCAACTATTACCGAATATGTTCAACTTTGACTAGTATCCAGAGACCACCGTGATATTTCCCACACCGGAAAAGCCATGATTGTCCCGAACTTGTGTGTGCCCATACTGTTGGGAACACCTTTCCAGTACCGAAATAAAATTGTTATCGATCATGACCTCCGCACAGTAATCGATAAGTCGTGTGGATATGACTTGCTGAACCCACCACTGCTACAACCCCTTAAGAAACCAAAGAAGAAGCTTCGACAAGTTATGCGAGAGGTGCATGACAACAGACAGCTCCTGACTAACCAACTATGAGGCGTTTGTGAGCCTCGGCACTACTGGCTGGAGGCTCTGGGCCTGATGGAATACAGGAAACCAGTGGATGTAATCTCTGCAGTGTACAAACACATCAGAGTTCTTGCGGAATCGGAATGACTTCAGAAGATGGGAAACTCAATTAAGGCTGATTTCAGACCGATCTTTGATTTTATCCCACATGTCGATGAACTACCTGCGGACATTAACTGTGAGATTAAACTGAAGGACGGGTCAGCAACGCTGACATGTATGTCTTACAAAAGCCCGCAAAAGTACTGTGAAGCCTGGAGCCTCTTGACCAAGAAACACTTAGACACAGGATGCATACATCTCTCAAACTCTCCCTTTGCTTCACTGGTGATGCTCATACCCAAAGCAAACAAGGAATCTCTTCTGCATTGGGTCAACAATTACAGAGCAGTTAACGCGAACACGGTTCACAATGTGTTTCCACTTCTGAGAGTAGACGCCATTCTTGCAGAAGGGAAAGATCTGGTCAAAGATAGATTTCACCGACTCTTTCTTCCAGATGCGTATGTATCTAAATTCCGTCAAATATACTGCCGTTAACACTCTGCTGGGCCTGTATGAGTGGTTAGTGATGCTTCAGGGTCTGTACAACACACTGTCTGTACAGCAATACAGGGTAACTGCCGAGAAGTCCGATGATCCAATCAACCAATTGAATACCTGTGGATCGCGGCACCACAACCTGTACTCAGAGTATCCGTGGGAATTGAGTGATTGTATCCGCGGATGC